CGGCAAGAACCTCGACAGCCCCGACCACCAATCGCACATGTTCAACACAGCCCGCGGCAGCTTCCAGGTGGCCGACCCGTGCCCGGCCTCGCACCCGGTCCGCATGCCCCAGGTCGCCTACGAGACCATGTGGAACACGACCATGTTCAACGACCCGGCCCTCTGGCCCGAGGACCCCAACGAGCAGCCCTTCGTCTGGAGCACGGGCGACACCAGGGGGTATTCCACGCACGCCGACTATCTGTTCGGGTGGGAGGGCGATTCGCTGCAGCGCGCTATGGACGCGAACTGCTTCTTCCAGCGGTGCAGTGTCGGGAATCCCGAGGGCGTGCTCAAGGTCCAGACGGCCGAGGAGCAGAACGCGTGCAGGATTCCGGTGACCGTGCAGGAGGATGTTGATGGATGTATGTTTCCTTTATCTATTTCCCCTTACCTATGGAGAGAAGCGATGTGTTATTAGTGGGATGTGGCTAACAGTAATCTGATCCAGGGCTCGATGAACTTCCCGGCGGCAAAGCTCTGTGGTAGTGGATGTGACGTCGAAGAACAAATTGCATGGCGTTGGACAGACAGATTGCGCAAGAAAAATCCGTTTCTCCATCAAAATCTGTGCAATGAGACCAACCGCCTCGGTCTCTTTTCCTACCCACCTAGGCACCTCTCGCTCACCTCTTGCAGAAACTTACCAAGAAAGTGCACCGAACCTTGCCATTCAAGATTTATCAGCTCGGACTGACTACCCACCCCAGGATTTCTACCTGCCTACCTATGCTGCGTCACCCGGCCGAGACAGGGAATAAGCCTACAGTCTACATCCCTCAAACTCCTATCAAAGGGGATAAACAAGCCTGGATGATCATCCCATAAAATATAAAATGACCTAGCCAGACGTACTTACCAACCCGGCCAGACCCCCTAGCGAAACAAACACACGTGCAAAAAAAAAAAGGGGGGGGGGGTTAAATGCTCCAGCCATAACGATGGAGAATTTGGGCGGGCTGGGAATCGAACCCAGGTCTTTCAATGAACGCCTGAGATGTATATATTTAGAAAAACAACGCTGAAATCCGCTTAGGGAAGAAAGCAACGCTCAGGGAATGCGCTGACCACTACGCTACCCGCCCTCTGTTTTGTTTTGTTGGTATAGGGTAGTGTGTTTTGGATCCATATACCTACCTCCAGCTGTTTGTAGTTCCTCCCCAGGTGTAGGCTGACCGGCATTCAGCCATGTACCCCCTCCCATTTTTGTGCTTGCTTGCCATCCGCAAAGAAGTATTCATGTACGTTACAATTCAAACTAGGTATGATGCGTGAACCAGTTCTAGTCACGTACCTGCAAGGCAGATGTACGCCGAGAAAAAAAAAGTGGAAACAAAAAAAAACATACAACACCAGGGATTCGCTGGTCGTCACCGACCCAACTACTAGTCTGGCGGTCGCTGGCTTATCTATGGGAGAGCGGACGGGATCCCGAGTTTTCCAGTGCCTATGGTCGTATGTGATAATCTTGCATGGGAACAGAGTTTTTAATCCGCGGTTGGTTGAGAGATATTCTTCAATATAAAGACTTTGGCGCTGACGACGCTGCTTGTCTACACTGCCGATGGTTGCATGGCTAACCTACTTGGCAAAATGTCACAAGGAAACGATGGTATGTATATGTGTGCGGCTCGGCAAGGGAACAATTTTCCGGGGGATACGGCTCTGTGACTTGTTTGGTGCCTGGGGGTGCTGGCGATGGTGGCCCGGGATCGATCCTGACTTCGACTCCGGTGCACAAGGTTGTCGTTACTATATGACTGACTGAACGACTTGGCGATAGGAGAAACCTCGCCCCTTAATGGCGGATGCAGTTCCTAACGACTGGTAACTGCTGGTGAGGACCTTTAACGGGTCGCCTGACTGAACTGATGGACTGGTTGCCTGAGAAACTGGCTGTGAGGAAGCAAGCGACTCAACACCAAACACCGTAACTACCTGTATAAGGCAGTTCACCCTCATTAAGTTGCGGGTATTTCCTCTTTTGCTTCCCCTTCCGGCTTCCAAGTTCAGGTACATAGGTCTACCTGGGAGGATCCGGAGCTCGCCATTGCGGTCACTCGCGGCCTCACCCATCTCTTCTCGTTACCAGTCCACGCTCAAGCGTTGGATTTCTTCCCCTTCATCTTCGTAGAACAAATGAAATTTAGTTCCTGTATCTGCTACTTCTATGACAGTCCAATAACACTCACAGTCTTTCTCTTTTAAATGCCTGGAGATGGATCTCAACGCGCTGACATCTACATGCCACCTCTGGTGACAGTTTCCAACTGCATCTTTTCAACAAGTAGGTAGTCTCGGCCGCCATTGGTGAAGCAACAGCCAATTAATTACCTGCGCCGCACGCATCTCAGCTCCCCATTCGACTGCCAACAAGGCTAAAACACGGAGTTGATACACCGGCCACCGGCCCTGGCCAATCAAGCGGACCGAATTTAAACCGTCTGACGACCCACAGTTCCCGAAATAACGTTAAAAGTGAACGCCAAGATCAGGGGGGTGTGGTACTGTACAACGTGGGGTTTGAGATACCCTGTTTCCTCTACCCCGAACCAGATTTCCCCCTCTTCAAGGCCATTCTCGGAACGCGTTGCTCATGTAAATATTTCAAGACACCGCACCGATTGGTGCCACCTCTCGTCGAGATGGGCAGATACATGCCGTTCCTGTCGCTCTTGGTTATCCTTTTGAATTTATCTCCTCGAATTCAGGGATCGGAGCACCATGCGCTGGCAGCTCGCGACGATGCGCCCTCGACGACAGACTTTCTGCGACGCGCTTTCCCCGCAGGCCAGTACTTCGAGAGCATCCACTTGGTCTCCGCTGACATGCATATAGTTATCGTCCTGGGCGATTATCTGTACATTGACGGCGGCGAGGTAGCTCAACTCTACGGCGGCAAGAATGGATCGGCCGAGCATCCGTCTTATGCGAGTACGACCTTTCTCCACTTGACAAAATAGCCACTACGGATACCGGGTATGCTAACCACTGCCCAGTGAACGGCACGCTATCCATCCCCCTGAAAACGTCGTGGACGAACTCGACCGTGACGTTCAAACAGTCGCCCAAGGCGGCGCCCGTCTTCAACCAGCAGGGCATCTGGCGTGACCCGGCCGGCTCGGCTTTCTACATCTGGGGCGGCACGACGTCGTACTTTGCGCAGCCCCCGCCGCTCGAGATATGGCGATTCTCGGCCGACGGCTACGGCGGCGGCGGCTGGGCCCATGAGAACCCGCGCGGGAATGCAGTCGTCGAGCTCGCCAAGGCCACCCGGGGCGGACAGGCGTCCTTCACGCAGAGCCGGGAGATAGGATACTACCTGGGCGGATACGCCAGCGCGCAGACGGACACGAGCGTCACGGGTGACGCGTACCTCGCGCTCCCGGGACTCATCGAGTTCAACATGACGAGCGGCGAGCTGACCAATGCGTCGTCGGTCGGACTCGGTCCGTACAGCACCCTGATTAAAGGCGCAGCCGAGTTTGTGCCCTTTGGCCCGGGCGGTGTGCTCCTATTTCTCGGGGGCGGGCAATCGTCGATTCGTACGACATACGGCGGGTGGACGGGCGTGGACTTTAACAACCTGACTCTGTACGATATCAACGGTATGTGCTTTCCATTTCGGCGGCCGCAGAGGTGAGATACTGACGGTGGTAGCCAAAAAATGGTACTCGCAGCAGACGACAGGCGCCCGGCCAACACGACGAGAACGGTTCTGCACCGTTGGCGTGGCGGGTCCGAACAACACATACGAGATGTGCGATACTCATCCTGACCCTTCCACGTCTTGAAGCTAACCTTGAAATAGTTTCATGTATGGGGGCGTCGACACACAAGCCTCACGGACCTCGGACGAGGTCTACGTTCTTTCTCTGCCGGGTTTCGTCTTCTTCAAGGGCCCGACGGCATCGACAGCCCGTGCCGACCACTCGTGCGCACTCGTAGGTCGAAGCCAAATGCTGTCAATAGGAGGCACAGACGCATTCGCCGGCTTTCCGAACTCGCTCCTCGACCGCGATCCGTGGCAGAATGGTCTGGGGATCCTGGATCTCCCGCCCATGGCGTGGAAGAACTCATACGATGCTGACGCCGCACCGTACGACTCGCCGGTTATTGTAAAGCAGTGGTACTCCCAAGGCGGACTCGGGTCGGTGGCATGGTCGAGCCCAGAAGTTGAGAAGCTCTTTGCTGAAACGGCGCCTCCGAGTGCGGATCCCAACCCAACGAGTCCCTCGGGTCCGAATCAGCCGACATCTTCGAACCCAAGCGACTCATCAAACAACAATGCATCATCAGGTCCTCCGGTGGGCGCCATCGTTGGCGGTGTTTTAGGGGGTGTTGTCCTCGTGGTGGTTGTCGTCGGACTCTTCATCGTCCACCGCCACAAGAAACGGCAGAGAGACCTAGACCCTGCCCTTGGAGAAACGCAGCCTGTGCCTCCTTACGGGTACAGTAAGACCTGGGACCCTCATAAGGCCGAATACGTAGAGCGGTGGAGCTCGGCGGTGACAAGTGAGCCGCCGCCACAAGAACTCGAGGGACACACACGACAGGAGCTCCCGGCTGGCCATGGTTACTCAGAGATGCACTCGCCGCATGGGACGAGCGAGTTGCCGCCGGGGGCGCGGAGGGATCAGACATGAAATGTATTGTATTGTATACCCACGTATCATGTTTTTGGACTGGATATATCTTGGAGTAGAAATATCATCAAACGAGCTAGACACTCTCAGACTCTCTTGGACCCGTCACCGGGGGTTTGTGAACACAGCTGCTCCCAGCTGGTCCAGTGTTGTCACGAGCAGCGACAAAGCTCCTGGTACTTCTGGGGAAAGAGCAACCAACCCCCCGCCCCTCGCCGTGCCTTCCTCCACGATCTCCTTCCCTTCCCAGAACAGACAAGACCCGCCAAAAGCAGATAACTCAGAACTTCCCCGTCCAGTTCCAACAAGCGATCAACCCCTCTGGTGTATCGGTAACATAGCGGATTCTCACTCCGTTGCGCAGGGTTCGACTCCCTGGGGGGGTGTTTTTTTTGGTGGTTATTCCCTTCTTACATTTTCAGCATCTACTTTTTGTTATCTTTGAGCAGTGATGTTTCATTCACTTATCCCAGGATCCTGTGGTGTTTCCCCCCCCCCCCCACCCCCACCCCCCCAAGTGATCCCGACCATCGAGATGGTGTTGTTTGATGCTTAGGCGGCGGAGTGGTCTGTTCATGGCCTGACAACCTGGTTCGTGATCGGGGGCGTCATCCCATTATGTCTTTCCCTCTAATGAAGCAAATCTGGATATGTGTGCTTCGGTGACGAATTCCGGAACTAGCTGGTCGTCATTGCGTTGCGGTCGGTCAGAACCATCTTCTCGGAGACTTCATTCAAATGTATAGGTGCCAGAGAGCTGACTGAAGTCTGTCAATCATTCAGAGTCCTTCCAACCCCGTAGCTCACCGCATACTCGCTTGACAGTTGGATGTCTCTCCGCCCATCTGTTATCTTTCTAACGCTCCAAGTAGGTATATACCCCAAACGCGGCTCGAAACAATACTCTCATGTCAAACTCACAGTCGGCGGCTCCTCCCATTCCCTATTGTGTCGCCCGGACCCGCCCCAGGCAGCCTCCTCAGGTCAGTTGCCCCTGGCCGAGTACTAAAGCAACATTGAACTCGCTTCACAGAAGGGGGGCTCAGACGAGACTTTAATTTTCCTTCAACTAATAAACCGTATTGATCGGGAGCCGAAGAAATCGCTCAGGTTGATGGAGCCAGGGTTCAGGCAGCAGTCTTGTCCGCTTGGCCAGGGCTCGGCTGTCACCATCCACGTGGGGAATCGAGGGCCCAGAATCCACAAAGCTTCCAGAAGGATTCACTAGCAAACGGCATTCTCCATTTATTAGCTAAGAAATTCGTTCACATATCTCACGTTAGCAGAGCCTCCAAGCACCGACATGGACCATTGGACAGCTTGAGGGGCATCTAAACCGAATATGCCGGAACTACTTTGAAGAAAGCCAATAGTCGGCGCTTCAGTAATCTCTGCATGAGTACGCGTTCCGTTCCCTGCTGCGTTGAAGCTGGTGCAACTGCCAAGTTTCTCGTGTTACCAAAAAGTTAATTTCCTTGGAGTGGCTGTGAAAGAGAACCTGCCTTGGTCAATGCGCGCCAACCAAGCACAAGTGCCAAGCATCTGCCGACAGATGCAAGGCGGACCAATCACCGGCCAGCGGGCCGGTGACCGCCCGGAAAGCGGCACATCGTTCACGTTGTGGGTCAAGGATCCGCGGATTCTTGCAGGAGAAGCGGTCGGATTATTTTTCGGCTTCCGGTTCAGCTTGAAAGCAGAGCGTGATGGTGAAACAGAAGAGTTCAGATCACTGCTTTGACGCGTGGTGGCCGCGCGAACCACAACGACTTACTGCCGCTGGATAATGCGGACGCTTCCCATTCGATATAAAAAGTCTATTGCGTCATTGCCCGTTTCGTCCTCCACCACAAATGCCAGGGGTTGCCCCGTAAGGTTGAAAGTCAGGGACGTGCCTCGAGGCCCAACAGCGGCCGCCCTAACTTCGCACATCGATATGAACAATCCGGAAATAAAACGACACCGACAAACCAGTGGAAACCATCAGTGCCACGCCGTCAGGTCGATCGCGGAAGACGGACAGGCCGGTGGGAGAGCCAAATGGCAGCGCCGTCATGTTGCATCCAGCCAGAATCAGGTCCAGGCAGAACATATGGGAGATGGGGTATGCCCAATCCTTCGACCTCGGACTGCCGCTGCGACGTGCCAGTCGTCGCGGTCGACCATGGCCCAATGGGATTACGAATGAGGGTCTGATGCGCTCGGCCCATTCCTTTCTCATTCATCCCTGATTTCCTGTCGTCCCATCTTTGGTCAGCACAGTGTCTGGCCCGCAGCGGTCCTCTCTCTTTCCTCTCCACTTATTCCAACTTTCCTGCATTCCTTGATTTTCTCTCTTCCCGAAAACCTGGTTCCCCCTGCCGGCAATCTTTGTGGTCGTCTTTCCTTCCCTTGTTGGTCATGAGGTAGTCCTTATTTCAACCTCCAAGTGGACGTTCACTATGCTCGTCACCATGCCGAGCCAGCGGCAGGTGCTGAGCATCCTGGCCTGCCTGTCAACATTCTTTCTCCTCCTGACTCTCTTCCGCCACGACGACGTCTATACCAAGATACCCGGCCTGGGCAAAAGCAAAGGCGACGCCAAAGCCCCAGATCAAGACAAGAAGCCCCCGCCTCCGCGTCGATACAAGCCGAAACCCGAGTACATTCCGCCGCCCATCAAAGACAACTTCCCTCTGCTGTCCACATCGCTCAAGGCGCCGCCGATCCCGAAGTGGAACGTCCCCCGCGCGAACCTGCACAAGGAGTACGACCTTCCCATCGCGCCGCCGCTGCTGATCGGATTCTCGCGAACATGGCCAATTCTGTTGCAAGCTGTGGTCAGCTACCTGACAGCTGGGTGGCCGGCTGACCAGATATACGTGGTGGAAAACACAGGTGTTCAGCAGGCCAACGCGCGCGGGCAGCTGACGCTCCAGAACCCCTTCTACCTCAACCACACGATTCTCAATGCGCTCGGCGTCAACATCATCCAAACCCCGACGTTGCTCAGCTTTGCGCAGCTGCAGAACTTCTACCTATCGCTGACCTACAGCCACGACTGGCCGTACTACTTCTGGAGCCACATGGATGTGCTGGTACTGTCGTACGAGGACGGGCACGAACTGACGCCCAAGTACCACGAGGAAGGGTACAAGCCGCTGTACGAGCTGGCCCTCAAAGCACTGCGAGACGCGCGCCGCAACGACCCGCACTGGGCGACAAGATTCTTCTCCTACGATCATCTCACCGCCGTCAACCCGGCCGCCTACGAGGATGTTGGAGGGTGGGACACAATGATCCCTTACTACATTACCGACTGCGACATGCATTCGAGACTGCTCATGCGAAATTGGACCATGGAGGACGTGCGCGCGGGTATCATCACCGACGTTAGTACCTCGCTCGATGATCTGGTTGCGTTGTACCGCGTCGACGGCGTTGAACCAAAGTTCACGGACCCAAACCCGCCGCCACCCAAGAAAGAGGGGGAAGATGGAAAGCGTTTGCGACGTGACATGGTCGATATGGTTACTAAACGCGACGCGGTCAAGGTGACGAAGCGGGTGCCACCGTCGGGCATGCTCGATAAGCGCGACCGCGCCAAGGTATACCGAAGCAGCGACGAGGACGAGAACCTGCGACGCTGGCGAAAGCTTCTGAGCACGGCCGATTCGATGTTCCACTATAAGCACGGGGCACGAGGGCGTAATACGTGGCAGACAGGCCAGCGCGGCGGACAGGGCGAGCCCTTTTACTACGATGCCGCAGGCCTGGCCGAGGCGATCGATCTGACGACGGAGAACGGCAAGGAGATCTTTAGACGAAAATGGGGGCATCGCGACTGCGACCTGCGGTCAGGCGCGGGCCTCCAGTTTGACGACCAGTGGCTGGTCGAGAAGGACTGGGAGTGAAGTCTGGACAGCTCATTTGACTTTCACAAGAGGAGGATAAATAACCGGTTATCCACTGCCGTGGATATTTGGAGCGGGAGGGAGCTGAAGTCAGAAAAGGGCAGCTGGATTCGAATTCGGGATAGACGATGGGATGTCTGTATTCACAGGTTTTCGCCGTATGATGTATGATGTCACATACATTTCGGAAGGCACAGGCGTACGATCGAGGAACGATCTGGTAATGAGGGGGGTTGTACAGGGCAAGAGAGGATTTAGAGGGTTAGACAAGGTGTCACATATTGACCGCCGGATGCGTCTGGCTGGTCGGATCCGAGTGTAGTAGTCATTCGGTATATCTGTACATTACAGGCTCGGCGATAATGTTAACGATTATCTGGAATGCGCTGCTTGATGAACCCCTGAACTGTCTCGTAGATTCTGGTGACTCCGAACTGCGGTATCTTATCATCGCTTCCCAGGTTCAGTAGCTCCCTGCAATGAACCTAATGCTCTGCCAGCGTGTCAGAGTGTCTAGCGGTGTAATCGGTTGTACGATTTGGCAACTGGAACGGAAGGACGGACGGTTGATCGGCCTCGAGGAATCCTCGACGAGAGACGAACCATCATTGATAGACTGAGTGTCCATGCAAGACAAGCACATACGACCATAGGCACTGGAAAACTCGGGATCCCGTCCGCTCTCCCATAGATAAGCCAGCGACCGCCAGACTAGTAGTTGGGTCGGTGACGACCAGCGAATCCCTGGTGTTGTATGTTTTTTTTTTTGTTTCCACTTTTTTTTTGGTCTTGGCGTATGTCTTCAGGGGTACCCACTGCATGACTTAGAACTGCTAGTGGTTCATTCATCACACTTTGAATGATGATGCATGCCTATACTCTTTTGCAGGCGGCAAGGAAGCAAGCACAAGCTTCGGGGATATGGCTGAATGCCGGCCAGCCCTATTCCGTCCGCCTGAAAAAAAGGATCCTCAAACAGCTCGCATTTTATGGGACGGTCATCGAGACTTCTAGGTATCTATTTACAGCCCAATGACCCTCCCAGTCTCTCTAAAATGCCCATAAACAGAGCGGATCGCCCTAACATTGACATATGTCACCTCTCCAGTAACAGATTCCGTCTGCATCTTATTAGGGTCGACCTTCCCCTTCCTCATCCCCATCCCCATCCCTCTCCCCTTTCGGGAGATTCGCCGCCGCGTTGATATCCTCAACGACAACCAACCCGCGTTTATGCCTTATTAGCATAACGTTAAGGCGATGCGGGTCGGCCGTGAACCCAGGCCCAGTCTTCGACATCGTACCTACCCATGATCACGACCAGGCACGATGTCGTGCTCTTGGCCCTGGATTGAATCCACGGTCATCGGATCGGGCAACGAATTCACCAAGGGCACTTACCTTTGGTATGGAGACAACTGCCGCATCACGGCACCCGGCTTTGGTTTTGGCCGGGCGCGCTCTCGAGGCCTTCATCCAGGAGACCTATCCCAGCG